GGTGGAATTTAGTACTAGTTCGATAGCGTATATGAACTGAGGTAGGTTAAGAGCGGTGTTAGTTGAAATCTCGGTCCAGCGTTTCTCGATAGCTTTAATGACTAACTCTTTCGGGATGTTCGTAAAGAGAGACGTGACGTCCAACGAAACGAGCAGTTCATCAGAGCGAATAGTAGTGTTGCTAATTTTTTGTACGAATGACCAGCTATCTTTGACGTGAGACGTCGGTTTATGAACTGAGTGATGTAGAATTCCATAAAAAAATACTTACACACTAATGAACATATTTCCAACTCTAATCGCTTTATACTTAACGAGTTTGCCCAATGTAGGAAGTTTTTGACTAACAATAATGACATATTAGTCACCAGAGCCGACAAGGGACAGGTTACCGTAGTCATGGATAAACCAGACTATGTCAACCAAATGAACGAGCTCCTAAATGATACATCAACGTACCGTAAAATAAAAAAAGATCCCATCAATACACTAACGTCAAAAATTAACTCTCTCGTCAAATCTTGGCACGATAACGACATAATCGACACACAAACCTATAGGTCCCTAAATTGCACGAATGGCAATCTCCCGCGATGCTATGGGCTACCAAAAATACACAAGAACGGATACCCATTACGTATCATTGTGTCTGCGTTGGGTAGCCCACTTTACAACATTGCTAGATTCCTACATGACATCCTACATCACTCAGTTCATAAACCGACGTCTCACGTCAAAGATAGCTGGTCATTCGTACAAAAAATTAGCAACACTACTATTCGCTCTGATGAACTGCTCGTTTCGTTGGACGTCACGTCTCTCTTTACGAACATCCCGAAAGAGTTAGTCATTAAAGCTATCGAGAAACGCTGGACCGAGATTTCAACTAACACCGCTCTTAACCTACCTCAGTTCATATACGCTATCGAACTAGTACTAAATTCCACCAGTTTCAAATTCGACGGACAATATTACGAGCAGATTTTTAGTAGCCCTATGGGATCACCTTTGTCACCGATCTTGGCCGACTTAGTCATGGATGATCTGGAGACGGAATGCCTTAAAAAACTTGACTTCGAAATACCTATTTTCTGTAGAA